CACACACACACACACACACACACACACACACACAGAGAGAGAGAGAGAGAGAGAGAGAGAGAGAGAGAGAGAGAGAGAGAGAGAGAGAGAGAATCGTCCCTTAACATTTTGTGTTCATTCTTTTGCTTGCTTGTAGCTCAGTATCTGTCTTGAGCTCGAGTGGGAGGAGAAATCCCAGTTCCCTGGCCTCTCCTCTGCTCTCCTATAGGATTAGCCTTTGAGTAGTCCAAGAAACTTTTTTAAGAAAGTTTTTTTTTCCCCTTCCTTTCTGCGCTTCCTCTGTCAGCTCAGCACCTTCAAGCAACCAGAGGCTTGGGAACAAATTCTTCCATGGGAACCGGCAAAAGCGGAAAGCCTAGAAGGCAAAAGTCTCCTCGGGTCCACCCGGGTGCTTGGGGGCAGGTGACAGAGGGACAGTTTCCTAGGCGCTGGTTTGACAGTTTCATCCCCGCCCACTGGCAAGAGAGCTCCTAGGGCCGCTGCACAGGCGCGCAGAGGGGGCCATAAAAGCTGCAGCAGCGCAGAGACGCGGAGCTCGCCCACCCCCGGCGGAGCCGCGACCCACCATGCACGTGAACGGCAAAGTGGCCCTGGTGACCGGTGCAGCGCAGGGCATAGGCAGAGCCTTTGCCGAGGCTCTGCTACACCATGGCGCCAAGGTAAGGACTTCTCTGTCCACCCACACGCCGGAGGAGCCCCAGCCCCGAGGGTTGCAAAGCTCCAGGCTTGCTAGCAGACCTCCAACGCCGCTGGCTGGCAGAGAACCCGAACTTGGATGAGCCCATTCTGAGGTCTAAGAAGGGAGCGTCTTGTTTATTCTTTGCTTGTGTGTCCCGCGGCTTGGTGTGGCAGAGCTGCACACAAGACCTGCTCCCTCTTTCTTCTTGTTTGTAGGTAGCCTTGGTGGATTTGAATCTCGAGGCAGGTGTAAAGTGTAAAGCTGCCCTGGATGAGCAGTTCGAACCTCAGAAGACTCTGTTCGTCCAGTGTGATGTGGCTGACCAGGAACAGCTGAGAGGTAAGACATGGGAAATCAATCCATAGACTCGGGAACACGCCCTGAGCAAGCAGCAACCTGAAGACTGCCAGGTAAGAGCCCGACAAGGCTGAACGCCAGCATCGCTCCCTTGGAAGAAGCTGCGACCTTCTAGCTCCCATGGATAGTTTGGACTGTTATGGTTCTTTCTGACAATCCAATGGCCATAAAAACTAAAGGGAAGACAGGACAGCCTAAGAAATCCTTTTATTTTAGTTACTTGGCAGCACATAATGTAATCAAATGTCTTTTGTGTATTCGAAGACAGTGCTGCTACAGTAATTACTCCGTGAGGGGACAGGCTGAGGAACTGTGGCAATAGCTCCCAGGAAGCTGGAAGATGCAGTTAAGTGACAAGCAAATGCGGCATGCTTCAGGCTACAAGTTCAAGGGTCAGGGTCACAGGCAAACCACATACTTTTAGCCAGATGTTTTCTCTGGGTTTTCCCCCTCTGAGATGGCTCTTAATCACTGTGTGGTGTTAGAATGAAAGAAGGAAAGACTCTATAGCCTTTCCCCAATGTTTTCCTGTTTTTCTGTAATCTCTTAAAATAGACTTGCGAAATATCAGGAAGAATATTGGCGTCAGCACTATACTCTGGCTGTATAGAGGGCTCCAAGAATTTTCATAAAGAAAATTTCCCAGGGGGGGAAACATAGGAAAAAATATTGGTTTTTCACACGGTGTTATTCAAAGGAACGAAGCAAATTGGTAGGCACATTTTTAATCCAGAAGTCAGAAAACTTACACCAGGTTCACTCTAGAGCTTAAAGGGATACTGAGGTCCTAGGTTTCTTGCAGCTTAAGATATCCTATGAATAAAATGGACTAATCTGTTAGAAGACAGTGAATCTAAAGATAAGGGAAATTGGATTAAAGAGAATGTCATTAAAATATGAAAGTGATTATATGTCAGGCAATAGAGCTAGCATGCATGAGTAGAACAGATTTTTAAGAGCAGTCGTAACAGAGCATGCTTTGCCAGAGGATAGTTTCATTGAAAGCATATTAATGACATTTAGGTTTAACCAAGAGCCAACATTTATTCTGCTGGAATAGAGGACCAGTATAGATAATTCATATGGCTTTACACAAGACATTTAATATTAGTTATTTTGCCAATATTTAAAATGAGTACCATGGCTATGAAGATATTTATTAAGCATAAGTAATTGTGAAGGAAACTCAGACACATAATAAATGACCCAGAAGGTCTGTCAATCATAAGAAGTTCACCAGTTGTTTAGAGTGAACAGACATAAAATGGAAGGATGAAGGTGATGCTCACAATGTCACAACTGAAGGCTGCCCAGGACTTTTGAAACTGTTTAGATACATTGTAACAGTGCAGAGTTGGAAGGGTTCTTGGAGACATCTAGACATGTTATTGTACAATTTAACAAACGGAAAGAACACAGAAAGTTCAGATGAAGTATAGAGTGTCATTGCATGTAAATGTCAGAGGGAGCCAAACTTTGAAGTCACGTGAACCAGTGATATGTCAAAAAGCAGATGGCACAGGGCACTTTGGCAAAATCAAAGCAGTGGCAACCAGAAGGGAAGAAAACTGAGGAAAAATCAGACATATGTATTTAGTAACTTAAACCTAGGATAGAAGGGGCGGGGGCAGATTAATATTCCTTGACCTTTTCTGGAACCAACTGAAGACTTAAAAAATGGCTTTAAAAATCCATTAAAAAGTAAAAAAGTTTGTTTTATTGTTATTATTTTTGTTGTTTTCCAGTTTGGCCCAATGAGTATAAAATGATGCTTATGCAAAAACTTTGTGAAAAAAAGCACACAAAAAAATGTGCCTCACAATCAACTTGCATGTTTATTGCCTGCCCCCAAATATTTGATGATTGTTCATAATTCTATAAATTTGTTTCAGTCACGTTAAAATCTGGATTGATCTACCTATTTAAAGAAACCCGTGTGTTCACTTGCAGGACTGGAAACAGACTTATGCCCTGTGAAAGGAAAAACATAGTTGTTGTCTATAGGCCGAAGTAATAGAAGTAGAATAGAAGTGACCACTTGTTAAATCTATAGAACTTTATAAAAGGGTGCTTTAAGAAATATGAGCTTCTGGATACTAAGGTGGTAAGGCCAACTTGGAACTGGATATAGAGGGTTTACAGACTTTGACAGATGGTTAGACAATGCAGTGTGTGAGATTCAGGTCTTGGAATCTATATAAACTTCTCCAACTGAACACAGTTTTATACAAATCCATAATGTAAAGTAGTAATGATAAGAGGGAAGAATGAAACAAGAAAGTAACATTAACATGACGAAATCAACTGAATAAAAAGTAATCTTTTACTAATTAGGACAGCAAAGATTCCTGGAAAAAATGGTCATAATGGATTTAAATGCATGAGTACTGAGTTAGTTTAATGCTTCGCATATACAATAGAGCTTATTAAAAGGAGATGTTTGAAAAGCTAGGGTCATGGTTCCTATGGTGGAGCACTTTTCTATAGTGTGTAGGCCCTAGATTTGACCCGTGCTGCAAACAAATGCAAAGAATGTGTATTATAGTCTATACCAAAGAGTTATAATAATTTCTTAAGAAGGAAAGGATACTAACTGCCCAGATGGAACTCAGGAGCGCTCTTAGTTTGCGATGCTCGCTTCTCTAATATCTGCTCCATCAATTTATTGATTGTAGAATGCTGACATGAATTCAAATCATCTAAAGATATGTTGAAGTAAGATTCTGATTCAGTGAGCATGCAAGAACTATACTGCATTTCTATCATTTGGGTAACTCTAGGTATTACCTAGAGTTAGTCGGCAGACCACTTATTGAGAACCAGATTATGAGCGTACTTCTTACTATGTGGTCAAGTAGACTTAAAACTCCTGCCAAACTTGGTAGTGCAAGCCTATAATTTCAGCTGAATAATGGGAGCTGAAGCATGAGGATTCCAAGTTTAACAACAATCTAGGCAATTTAGTGAAACCCTGACTCAAAATAAAAAGTAGAAGGATGGCTAGGGATATAAATCAGTTGGAGAGTGCTTATCTAGAATGTCAGGTCCTAAATTCAACCTCTGGTACAACAATGAAATAGAATAAAATAATATAGTAGACTCAATGAAATCCATTTCCTCTCATAGGAAATTATTTAAATACATATGTGGAAAATGAAAATCTCTCTCTCTTTTTTTATTAGATACTTTTAGAAAAGTCGTAGACCATTTTGGAAGATTGGATATTTTGGTCAATAATGCAGGAGTGAACAATGAGAAAAACTGGGAACAGACTCTGCAAATCAATTTGGTAAGCTATATTAGACTCATTTATTTACTAAGACTATTCAGTACCACTTCTGCATATATAAAATGTTATTATAGTCATAGAACAACAATAATGGCCTTCAGTGTAGAAAAATGGAAGTTACAGAAAGCTAGCAAATTATCTTTTCATAAATATGATGATAATTGATATTTGAAATTATGAAAACATGTCTTAAAATATTAAAGAGAAGCAAAAACATACATTTCATGAATAACCTGACATACATGAATAAGTGAAACTGAAATTTTGGTATCTATAAAGTTTTATTAGACTACAACCATGAAGTCATTATTATATTTTCTCCATCTAGCTTTGAGCAATAATGGCAGGCTGAATGTTGTGACAAAAACCTCATGGCTTACAACCCTAAAAATATTTACTGTTTGGCCCTTAACAAGTTAAGATTGCTAAACCCTGACTCAACTTATGTATTTGAAAAACAAGTCTTGAATTCTAGAAATAGATCAGAAAACAAAGTTAAAGAGATCATTGAACTTTATAGTTAATAAGACTTTGGCCATAAAATTCAGTAATTCAGTGTGTGTGTGTGTGTGTGTGTGTGTGTGTGTATGTGTGTGTGTGTGTGTGTGTACATGTGCATACATGCTCTTGTGTGTGATATGCACATTTGAAGATGAGTTAGCTCTGAAGTAAATGGTGAGTAAAATTTTAAAATGAGGTTTTCAATTCATCCATTGTTGTACAAGTGGGTAGATTATAGCATTTTATGAACACCCTCAACATAAGGCTATTGTGGTTTAATAAAACTCAAACCTTTCCCCAGCATTGCAAGAAAACAAGAACAAAAACAAAACGTTAAGAAGTGTGTAGCTAAAACAAAATGTCAGATGGATTTTATACAGGGCCACCATGCCCTGGCTCAAGTTATTACAAATTTGTGAAGCAGCCAAATGTCAAGTACAGCACAATGACTTCATGGGTGAGAATACAGAGTACTGTTTCAGAAGCTTCCTCCTAGGAGATAATAAGCTTAAAAACAGCAACTAGATGGGGCTGGAAAGATGGCTTAGCAGTTAAGACCATGTTTTCTGTTTTGTTCTCCCCCTGCCCCAGGAGTGAGTTTAGGGGTCCTGATCTATTGATCTGTTGCCATAGATTTATTGCCTACCATTGACCTATTGCCAAAATGATCGTTGGCGATTTTGCAAATACTCATTCTATCTAGAACATTCTTGGTGAGCTCTGAGGGGTTACAAATGGCCCTCCAGTTGCCATCAGATAAAGGGAGAAGCTCAAAAATGGCTTTTGGGACAGTAGAACGGGTGCATTTCCTGTGTGGGAAGGGCTGATGAGATCAGCAGGGTGAAGAGTAAGAGAGGGTAACTATGGTAAGTAATGAAAGTGCAAGGACACACACACGAGATGGTTTGGCAAATCACCAAACACTGTGCCAAAACACTGAGACGCACACAAAACCACTCATACTAATTTGTACAAGATTCTTTGTATTTCTACCCTCTAAGAACACAAAATGTAATTTTCTGCCTTCAAAGAACTTAATTTGTGCTAGCATGAATTATGCATCTAAAAACAGTTCTAATGGAATTATACACTGCAGAGTTTCTCTGAGAATGGTGGAAATATGCTGGATGGGATATCTCAGGAGGATGCATTGGGAATGCAGGTACAGAGCAATGGTATAATTATCTGTTTCATATATATGAATCCTGAACTCAGCCCTCAGGAAAAAACAAAAAGGATGCTGAAGTATCTCTCCAGCTCCATCTAGTTCCTATTTTTAAGCTTACTATCCCCAAAATTCATGAAACAGTACTCTGTATTCTCACACAGGAAGTCACTGTGTTATACTTGACATTTGGTTACTTTGCAAATTTGTAATAACTTTGGCAGGTAGGTAGGTATAGAATTGCTTCGAATATTAGTAAGGCAATTCTATAATGCGATTCTTTTAAAATTTTGAAGCTTTTGTAAACATAAACAATTCATCTCCATGCAGATGAGAAATACAATCTAATTTTGATAAATAATTAACATATATTGAATCCTTTAGCATATTCAAATAGAAAGCTGCTATTGATGATTATCTTTCCAGAAATACTAGTTGACTACCGATTTCCTCTGGGGAAAAAAGGGGTGCATATTCGGAATAAGTCAAAACTAAAGTTTAGTCCTGAATGTAAAAATTTATGGACTCTATATAAATATCTCTGACCTTGACATTCACAGTCGTGAAAGAAGTTAAACTTCTTACCTCTAAGAACCATTAAGGTTAAATAGGACACAATTTGTGTGAAGGATACAGCCCAGTGTTACTACAGAGACATTCAATAAAGCAAATTTCCCTTCTAGGTACCAGACTATATATTTGTACACAATCTCCTTTTCATATGAAGTGGATTTTTCTGCCTTATTGTTCCTCTAATAAGGAGATGAATTGAGAAAACAGGCAGAACTGTTGCTGCTTAAATAAAAAGGTTATTATGGATGCATCAATAAGAGCTTAAGAAAAAGCCAAAAGCATGCTGTTGGAGTTGAGCCCAGAGGGAGGTCATCCATATGGCAGACAACAGACACACAGTGGGGAGAGTAACTTCTGAAAAAGAATGAAAAATCCCAAAGTATCCCACAGAGTATACAAGACTCTGACTAGCCCCCAAAGGACAAAAATGGAAGAGAGAGGGAAAAAAGGAGAGTTATTCCTGAGTCAGGACTCAGAAACATGAGCAGACCCAACAGAACCTCACTGTGGTTAGTAGGTGCCTGCACTTGGGGTAGGGATTCTGGGAGGGAAAATACATTGTCTCATTAAGCTAATTATCTGCTCCCTCTTTAGATTAGTTTAAAGAAGCATTGTTCTTAATGTGTTTGCTTTTGTTGGCTCCAAAGGAGATTAATAGCAAATGGAATATGTAACCATTTGCTGCCACTGATACACTGTAACAATGAAAGTTCTAGCTGAAGTACATTAGCAAGGATTGCAAAATTGTGAGTCTCTCTAGCCAATATTAGCACCAAAACAAGGAAAAACTTAAAAAAAAAAACTTAGACATGAAAAATTAAACAATGAAGGGGATTTCAGAAAAATAATCTCCATTAATGTTCTTTGGGAACTGGCCTGGAGAAAATACAAGGACCTTAAAAAGCAAGTTTGCATGGTTTAGATGCCAGAATATTCTCAATTACAATGTAGTGTAAGAACTATAAACTGTGAAGTACCTCAAGTGGAGGAGAATGAGATGAGGGAAATGGAGAAATGACAGATTGGGAATTTTAGTAGTGAAATATATAAGTGTCTCTCTAAGTGTGCATGTATGTACACTGTGTATGTGTGCTGTAGAATCATGTGAAAGCTGATAAGAAAGAAAGCAAACAGGATATGTTTTTTTTTTTCTAGATGTCTGTGTTACTAGAGAATTATTTCCAGTACAGAGGATTAGATAAGCATGAACACTGCAATTAGCAAAAAATTCTAACACTTGCAATAGGTTTTAATTCCAATTTTAGTGTTATATATAAAAGTTGACTCTTCATAACTAAAAGTATTGAATGAACATGTTGATTTGATCATTTTGTCAACAGTTAAAGAATTTCTCCTCTTTGAAGTTAGAGAAGTTTTTTCTATGAAGTCAAGAACAGAATTTTAACTACATTCACAATGTACCTTAAATAATACCACACCAATTTATATTCTGTTTTATCTAGAAATGTCATGTAATTTTATCTTGATGCTTGATTTAGTGATCCAATATTATATATATGTATTCCTCAAAACCAAGAAATATTAACAAGAAATATTTCATTCTATGATTTTTGTAAAAGTTCCGTGTGTGTGTGTGTGTGTGTGTGTGTGTGTGTGTGTGTGTGGTTGTTGTTGTTGTTGTGTGAAATCTGGAACAGGGAAAAGATTTTTATGGTAAAAAAGTGAACATACCATTTGTATACAGCCCAAACATTGAATTTTCCTTGAAGTTTGTCCCATCAACACTTTAACTTAAAAAGTTATTCAATTCTTGAACTTAGATAGTTAAGAAAAATATTCCCTTGTCCATCTCTACAGAAAATATGGAAATGAATCCTGCTTTTTAAAACTTTAAAACTAGGGAACTGGAGAGATGGCTCAACAGTTAAGAGCACTGGCTGCTCTTTCAGAGGATACGAGTTTGGTTCCCAGTATCCACAGAGTGACTCACCATCCTATGTAACTCCAGTTCCAGGGATCAGATGTCTTCCCTTGACCTTCAAAGGCACTGGCCACCCACATGATGCCCATCCAGACTGGCAGGCAGACAGTCATACATATAAAATAAAATAAATACATTTTTTTAAAAAAATTTAAAATTGAAGCATAAACTTTTGTACATTTCTTATCTTACTACAACTTGAAGATTTTTAGAAACACAGAAGCAGAATGTCAGGAAAGCTTTAAATATCAGAATAAAGGCATATACTAATGTTATGTAAACTAGAACCTTACTCAAGCATGCTGAAGAATTGGGCAGAAATTAACAAACAGAACTGAACTTATTTTAGTAATTTCAGCCATGTACATATTTTTTCCTTCTTATATAATCCATTTAGGTGTTTTTTTTTTTCATTTACAGGGGAACAGTGATAAATTATTTATGCCCTTGCTTAACTGGAAAAATGACTTAATTGAATAGAATTTTCAACTTACCTTATTTTGTTTTGTTTTGTTGTTGTTCTAGACATACTAGCAGGAAATGGAGTTTCCCTAAACACTTTCTAAGAAAGCACTTTTTTCGAATGAAAAGAAGGAAAACACTAGTATGTACCCCTAGTTTCAGACTCATGGCCTATTGACCTTTATCTGTGCATTACTATAAAGTATAGATAAAGCAAGAATTAAGCTGTCCAAAGTGAATTTTCAGTTTTGAAAAGCTTAAGCTGAAAGAGAGAAGAGTTCAGAGAAGTAAAAGAAACAATACTATCAGTTTGCTCTCGAGTTATTTCAGAGAGTAGGAAATTCTTAAAAGTAAGAATAAAAGTTGAGTTCCCACTGAAGGGATGAGCAGGAAAACAGTGGACGATCAGAATGAAGCCATCAGCAGTGTGGAATAACATTAAGTAGTAGATATGTCTAAAGACTCTGTCCAAGTAGCAGAAAATCTCTGCTCAAATTAGAACTAGAAAAGAGTCATGGGATTTCCCCAAACTGGAGGGCTCGGGGTTATCCGACACTGTACACCAGTGTTTTCCTCATAATCTAGTCTCTTTAGCCCCGCCATCTTTTATTCAGGTTTCATCTTCATGATGTTAGTAGATTAGCTGTGCTTTACCGTGACTGAACAGTCACCAAGCAATGTAAAGGGGAAAATGTAGCTATTTCTTTATACCTTTCTTAAGAACAACAGATTTCACCAGATCCCATTCTTCACCTCCACCTTCACCTCTCCATTCGCAGGTCTCACTAGCCATAGCTGGGTCATATTCTAGGTCTCAAACACTGCACTATAAAGAGGGATGGAATTTCCCTGACTGAATCACGTCAGCCAGTGTCTACACTAATTCTAGGAAGGTCACGTTCTACTGTGTTACATGGAGAAGATGCATATAGATGTAAAATAGTTTATGCTGTAATCCTAGCACAAAGGATGATGAGGCAGGAAAACTTCCTTGAGATCAACGTTAACTTGGGCTACCTAGTGAGATCTGGGCCAACCTGGGTCATTGTGTGAAAAGCACAACAAACCCTGGATAGGCAATCCAATCCTGAGAAAAGAGAACAATTCTTGGGGTAACATAATACCTGATTTCAACTACAACTTGGAGTTATGGTAACAAAAACAAGATGATATTAATGCAGAACATATATGTAGATCAACAGAATAGAATAGAAAACTCACATTTATACCATCATAGCTAAAACTATCTGAAATTTCACAGGGATGCTAAAAACATACATTAAAGAGTCTCATCAACAAGTAGTATATACATGTAGAAGAAAGAGGTTAGATTTCTGTTCTTCACTCTGTACAAAAACCCACTCAAATGTTTCTGAGATATCAATGTAAGACCTAAAACTCTGGAAGTCTTAGACGAAAATCCTGAGTAAATACTTTAAGATACATACATAGGCAAAAGCTCTCTGAAAAGAACTTCAGTCCTTGGGAAATAATAGTAATAATTGACAAGTTGGATTTGTGGAAGTCAAAATTTTCTGCACAGCAAAATAAACAAATGAGTGAGGAGACTGCCTACAGAATGGGAAAAATTTTCCTAATTATTCATCTAATGGAAGATTAGTAACCAGAATATATAAAGAACTCAAAGAGAAAAATAAACACATTCTTGAAGTAAAAAGCAAAACAATCAATAAATGGGCTAATGAAAGTGAACCAGCAAGTCTCAAAAGACAAAGTACAAATGTGACCCATAAACATCAACCAAACTTCCAACATTCTTTGCCACCAGGAAAATGCAAATGAAAATGACAGGATCTATCTCATAGCAGTCAGAATGACCGTCAAAGGAAAGTTAATAAAATAATGTTGACGAGGATGTAGGGAAAAGGGAGCCTTTGTACACTGCTGATAAGAATACATGCTTGCAAATGAAAATTCGGTTTTCTCTAAGTGGGGCCAAGTGAAGAGAGAAATTACTCTTAAGGGTATAGGCTGCATGCCCAGAAGTAGACATGCCCATAAGCTAGGTGAACTTACGTAGAAATATGATAACCTACACGAATGTTAGGAGGGCAAAAAAAGCAAATCAGGAGCAATTAAAAATTTAAAGCATGCAAAAACTCTCATTGATTATACTTGCAGATCTCCCTACATACCTGAGTGAGCAACATGTTTGGTATGCAGACAGATGATAAAGACTAATAGCTGTATCGCCCTTTCCATTTTTGCTCCTGGGTTAGGTTTCTGTTATCAGTGGGACCTACCTTGCTTTGGATTACATGAGTAAACAAAATGGAGGAGAAGGTGGCGTCATCATCAACATGTCTTCACTAGCAGGTAAGAACAATTCTCATTTTAACAGGAATTTTTATCTTACTGATAATTTGGACCACAGAAGTAAATCTGTGAAGTATATGAATCATCACAACAAGATTGAATTAAATCTGGTTGTTTGTTTTCTTAAAGATTTTTTAGATTTTTCTACACATAATACAAAAAATTTGAACAATATATCTGTTACTTCTTTTCAAAGTTATCTTTATGGTGATATTGCTTGCGTGTGTGTGTGTGTGTGTGTGTGTGTGTGTGTGTGTGTGTGTGTGTGTGTATTTCCAGTTACTTGTTTTCAAGGATTATTTTAATACTTCCAAGCAGTCATACTTGTGAAAAAAAACTTTTGACAAAATAAAAATTACTAATGTGATGTCAGCTATCTCTACTCCCTTGTGAATTTAGTGAGAATGTGTAATTTTAAAATGTGACATCATCTGTACTAGTTGGTGTATGTTAAGCTGTTAAACAATATCCAAACACATCTTAGTTTTAAGATATAATTAGTTTTGACAACATCTGTATATTATCAAGGGCAAGATTTTTAGTCCTGGGTACCTAGTCTATATACAGCAAGTTGGCTGACAGAAGGTCTTTACCTCTATCACGGAGCTGCTAGTGTTGATCTGCAGTAGGCAGACACCTTTTTGTCCAGTAGAAAGAAGTAAAGCATATGGAGGACACATCACTGCTCTTCCACCCCCACCCACCCAAGCCATGGCAGACCTTACTGTGCTCACATTCCAGTGCAAAATTTGACCCATGATTCATCTAGCTACTTAAAAAATCTGGAAAATATTTTCTAATTGTACATGTAAGAAAAATGGTTTCAGTGGACAGCTGATTTTTTGCCACACTGAAGACTGAAGAAATGAGGCTACACAAGCAATCCAAAAGTGGTTTTCATTCAGAATAAAGTGGTTTAATGTCAGCAAAATGCTGTATTCTTCAATAATAGCTGCCAGTGTGTGGAGCGACTCAGTTAAGTAACTATACTTTTACAACTCCAGTCAGGGATGGATGTGCTGGTCCACACCTGCATCACCAGCACTTGAAGGAGCTCAGGTAGGAGGAAAGAGGACAGCCCAGATTAGAGGCCAGCTTAGCCAGCAGCAATGCCCCATCTCAAACAAATAAACAACAACAACAAAATTTCTCAGAATAATTCACCAATGCGTCTAGAAGGGTGCAAGTGAAGTCATGACATTTAAAAAGCCTGCTCATACTTGAGAGCGAGTCTAAACTCTTCATGTCCAAAAGATAGGAAGACCTTAAATTATCAGCTTGGTCTCAGTGTAGTAACTTCAGGATAAGAATTCACACACACACACACACACACACACACACACACACACACACACACACACACACAATCACAGTGCTGTCCATTCTGCCTCCAGTAGTATTGGGGAGAATCAGGAGAAGCCAGCAGTGGTATTTAGAGATATCTATGACTCATTAAATCCCTGATTCTCATTCTCAGCATTTTCCTAATTTCTCCGGGAGTCATTATAAAAGTACAATTTGTATATTTATAAGTATCCTTCTTTAGGACATCTGAAGTATGACTGACATCTCATTTTCTGGGTTGCTTAAAGTTAAACTGAGACCCCTAATGTGCTTAGAAACCAAATTTATAAAGCATTAAGGATAATTGGGTTACTTTCCCCTGTGGCATCTACCTATAAATGTCGATGCTTCAATTCTAAGGATGCACTAAAAGACCCTGTCCCAAATATTTTTAAATGAGAGGTGACATTGGTTAGTGGCTCCACAGCTGCTCTTGCAAGGACCAGAGTTCCCAGCAGCCATATCAGGCAGCTCATAGTCATCTCTAACTCCACCTCCAGAGGATCTGATGCCCTGTTTTAGCCTCTGCAGGCACCTGAAAGCACACGTGTGTCCCCCCCTCCCCCCGGGGATATAGGTCAGTAGTAGAGTGTTTCCTTGGTATGCTTGAAACACTAGGTTCAATTCCTAGTATGAGAAGGTAAACAGAAGAGGGAGGGAAAGAAGAGACTATTCTATGGATATTCTTTATACAGAGAATTGAGTCAGCAGAGCTTGGAGAACCATGGACGATATGCAGAAATATACATAGATCCTCTTAGCATTGCGTCAGTGGGGGCCTTGGGTACTTACTTCTTAGGAAACTTGGAAAGGTTGGCTCAATTCAGGACTCTATGATAAAGATTGTGTAATATATAAATGAGCTTCATTGCCTCAAGGAGCAATTAATAAGGAGAGATACAAGATAATACTACTGTCATTTTTCCAGTTAAAATATCTAAACACATAACCAGGAGCACTTGTTGAATATTAACTGTTTACTCATGTATTAGTATGAGTAATCATACTTCTTCTTCTTTCACTTTAGTCAAAGTATCTTTCACTATAATCAAAGTATTGGAGATAATTCACTTAAAAAGAAAAAGACTTAAAGGAAAAAGACCAGAACTGAGTTATGGAAGTTGTAGGCCAAGGTCAGCAGATAGGGACTTGGAGCCTCTTCTAAGGGTAATGCACTGTGGAGGAGTGTCTGATTGACTGAAACAATAATATCACAATTGGTAACTATCAGGGTCCTCCAGTCTCCTTCATGGGCATGTCCCTAGTGACCTAAGAACCTCCTTGAAGGTCTCTTCCTAAAGGATTTACTCCCTGTCAGTAGCACCACCCTCAAGATCAGGTCCTTCATACATGAACATCTAGAGGGCATTGAGCATCCAGACTATGGCAACGTGGTTCCATTGTAAACACTATATTTGAAGAGTCCATAGTCTACTACGGAAATGAAGACAAGGCAAGCGAGTTAAGTGCCATGCCCCAGCCTGTGTGGCCAATGCACAGCAGGGCTAAAATTCACACGTGCAGTCTGATGCAAATCATATTAAATTCTAATCCTTCATTATCTATCTCAGATATGCACTGATTTATGAGTCTACCTCTTTATCCAAGGTTATGAGCCTAGGAAGAACATAAAGGAAATTGAAACCCTGTCTTGAATAAATCTTTTCATTTTGCTGGTCCCTCCAGGACTCATGGGGTCCCCAAGGCTGTTGCTAACTTTCATGTGACACTGCAGCTTGCCCTCCTTTGACACACACACTGGGAGCTGGCCTGAATCCCACGTTCCAACGTGTCATCAAGAAGAGCAATTTAAGGGCCTCAATCTAATGTTCATTTTGCTTTCTTGGCTAAGAACTGGCCCCATCATGTCACTCACCCTTGGAGCTATTTTTTTTTGGGGGGGGGGCTATTTCAGACATAAGATCTATAACTATATATAAGTGTTTTTGTTCCTGCAGGTGCAACTGTGGATTATTACAAATTCAGTGATAGGATTGCTTTGGTTCTAAACTAACTTTCTGACCCTATTACCATAATGACTATTATGTCGTCTCAAATTCCTCTTCCCTTTGATTTTCATCCTAACATGTAAGACACCCCCATTTTAAAAGGCTAAACAATGGACTAAGTGTCTCTGTGTCCACTCTGCTCGGCTTCCAGGCCTCTTCAAGTGTCCTTTGCATAACCGATGCAGTCTCCACACCTGCTTTATATCATTTCCTCGTTCTCATTAGCTGTCTTCTGCTACCGCTCTTCCCACAAAGAGCTTTTGCTAACATGCCTTCATCGCAAAAGTTTCAAAACAGTCTTGTGTTTTATCAAGTAAAGTCTAACTCATACATACTAGATCAATTTGATAAAATTTCAGAGCATAGTCCCAACATTAAAGAGGAGCAAACAGGAGAATGGCCAGTCTGAAGCAAGTCTGAGCTACATAGTGAGATTTTTGTCTCAAGATAAAAAAGGTTGACCATGTAGCTCAGTAGAAGAGCACTCACCTAGCATGAATAAGCATGTATGTGTACATGTACTTGCAGGCATACACACACACACACACACACACACACACACACACACACACACGCATATATGAACAACAGAGTATTAAAATAATTAGAGATAAAAGAGAACCCCTTATTCATAATTTTCTCAAAACCATATCAACAAATGTATGACCTTGAGTCATGGTACATAGATTGAGGTCATCAAACAAACAAACAAAACCTTAGAGGTATTATTAAATATTAAGTACTTTTTTATTTTATTTTTGAGATTATAATTACACTATTTTTCCCTTTCTTTCCTCTCTCCCTCTCATATACCCCTTCTTGTTCTCTTTCAAATTATGGCCTCCTTTTTTCATTAATTGTTGTTACATGCATACAAATATATATAGAGAGAAATTATATATATACATACATATATATGAAATATGTGTATATATTATTTCTAAATATAAGTTGCTAATCTATATAATGTTACTTGTATCTATGTTTTCAGGGCCAACCACTTGCTATTAGATAACCAATTGCATACTCTTCCCTGGAGAAGACTATTTCTGCCTTTCAAAGTATTTTTTATTTTTTTATTTTTTTGGTTTTTCGAGACAGGGTTTCTCTGTGTAGCTTTGGGCCTTTCCTAGGACTCACTTGGTAGTCCAGGCTGGCCTCAAACTCACAGAGATCTGCCTGCCTCTGCCTCCCAAGTGCTGGGATTAAAGGCGTGTGCCACCACCGCCCGGCTCTAAGTATTTTTAACATTTACTTTCTGTTTGTTTTCCAAGCTTCCTTTACACGTTTTTCAGTTTGAGTTTTGTTTTTTCTGCTCACTCTAGTGCATGCAGAGTTGCAGGCCACATTCAGCTCATCTGGTTCAGCCCTTATGATTTATTATAGACCAGCAGAGTCCTTCACTGCCCTGGGAAAACCTCAAGTTGTCATACTGGCTTGGGCAGAGAACTTATGAGTAATGACCACTGACGCAGTTTCGAAGGTAGTTAATGGGTTTAACAAGCAGAGTGGATGAGCCTGAGTGGAGAAATGAATGTGCTCCACTTGCACCTCAAGAAGAGGGTCTGGCCATTGCTCTCCACGTGGACTCTTCTATAGGAGTTTTTATTTAAACATGATATACAAACACTCATTTTGCCACACACT